ACTCGGGGTATGAAAGCAACGGAGTTTGTCCCAGGTGTGGTTTGGCCCCAGAGACCCCTTTGCACCGGTTTTGGGAGTGTGAAGACAACAAAAATATCGAGGATTCTGCGATCCGACTCACTGATAGGTTTACTGATGATGCCCGCCAAGGGGTCACTGACGCCTCTTGTTTTTGGACCCGAGGGTTGGTCCCCATGGGCTGGACGTTGGATGACCTTCCTGATGGGCAGCTCCGCGTTTGGGCCTGGGGATCTTTCCTTGAGTCCATCAGCTCTGGAGTTAAAATTGTTGGAGGAGTGTTTGGGACTGACGGTTCGGGAGGAGAACACGGCAAGGATTGGAGGTTGAGGAGATGCGGATGGTCTGTTGTTCACCTGGACCCTGATTCCCTAGAAGTTCGAGGTATCCTTTGTGGGACCCTGCCTACTGTTGGTATGTGTGTGCAGAGCTCTCCTCGAGCAGAACTATTTGCACTACATCAGCTCTTGGTTTACACCGAGGGCCCAATTCACGTTTACATTGATTACCAGCCTATTGTCTTGGCCTTCAGAAGGAAAGGAGCACGGGTGGATGACTCTACCATGCTGGACATATGGCAAAAAGTTTGGACCACTCTTGAGAGACGACCAGGTGATGTTCGTGCGACCTGGGTTAAAAGTCATCCTACCAGGAGACAGATCGACCAGTACCAGATCTCTCCCCACGGCCTTGTTGCTAATTCGGTTGCAGATGTCTTCGCTGGGGTGGCTGCCGAATGGGGGGCTTTGGATCATGAATTAGTCAGAACAGTGCATAGCGTCGATTCCTGTTGTGTCCTCGTGTTGCAGCGGCTCCTAGCTATCAGTCGTCACGTGTCGTTGACCTGTGGTCGTACCCGCCAAGATAGACTAGGCCGCGAGCAACACCGAGAGAGAGCTAGGGTTAATAGTGCCAACCAACGTAAATGCCGCCTCGTCCAACAAGGACATGATGTCCTGAAGATGAGCACTGTTTTTAAATGTAAGTTATGTGCCAGACGTTTCCCTGCCTTGAAAGGCCGCTTGGATCAGTTTTGGCCTGAGGCCTGTCCTGGCCCCGTGGTGTTGGGTCCCGCTTCGAGGGATGGGCCCTCCGCTGGGATCGGTCCGTGGAAGCCAGTCGGGCCCGATGGCGGGCATCATCCGAGTGTTTCACTGTGCCATTCCTCACACCAGTTGTATGTGTACCGAGGAGTTCTTTTTTGTGCTGCATGTGGAAATTTTTGTGTAGGGACCCCTGTGAATCTGGCTGTGATCTGCCCTCTGCGTGACCAGGTGCACCCCAGGCCCTGTAGCACTACAGGGAAGCAGAATCTCAGCAGGTTGAAGAGGGGACTCCCGCCTAAATTCGGCATGAGTTTCCCTGAGGCGTGAATGAGGTATAGGGGCTGAGCTTGCACTCAGGAGCCCGCCACCAGGAATCCCAGGAATTCATCCTCCTCCTCCTCCTCCTCCTCCTCCTCCTCCTCCTCCTCCTCCTCCTCCTCCTCCTCCTCCTCCTCATCCTCCTACCATTACTCCTCCTCCCCGTACTCCTCTCGTCCTCCTCCCCTCCTCCTCATCCTCCTCCTCCTCCTCTCCTCCTTCCTCCCTCCTCTCCCCTCGTCCTCTCTCGTCCTCCTCCTCTCCTCCTCGTCTCCTCGTCCTCCTCCTCATCATCTCCTCCTCCTCGTCTCCTCCTCGGCCTCCTCCTCCTCCTCCTCCTCCTCCTCCTCCTTCCTCCTCCTCCGCCTCCTCCTCGCCCTCCAAATCCTCCTCCTCCTCCTCCTCCTCATCATCATCATCATCAGCAGCATCATCATCGTCATCGTCATCACCATCATCATGATCATCATCTACACCATCATCATCGTCATCATCATCATCATCATCATCATCATCATCATCATCATCATCATCATCACCATCGCGTGTGTAGGGCCGCCCCAGTAGGTCCCTGTCCAATGTTGTCCCTGCCTGGGCATCGCCTCAGGCAGCGGGCGGGCTCACCAGCCGCCCGCCGTGCACGGCCGAGGCGGAGCTCGCGCCCCGCCCCGCGGTGGCGTACCTCGGCATGCTGTACGCGGGCGTCAGCCGCGCCGTGGCGGAGAGGGAGGCCCGGGTGCCAGAGGAGGCGCGGTTTGCGGGCGTCAATGGGCAAAGGTGGAGAAGGAGGGAGGCGGGAGGGGATGGAGGAGGAAGAGGAAGGAGAAGGATGGAGGAGGAGGAGGAGGAGGAGGAGGAGGAGGAGGAGGAGGAGGAGGGGGCAGAGGAGGCGCGGCCCGCGGGCGCCAATGGGCTCCCAGGCCTCCCAGATGGGGTCGGAGTCGATGAGGTCGGAGGATCGCACCGTATCGCTTGTGCATCGGCGATGCGGCTCGATGTTGATCCCGATGTTCTACATGCCGACGTCACCGATGCATCTCCGACGTCGCCAGCGCATCGCCGACGCATTGCCGATGCATCGCCGATGCGGCGAGATCCTCCGACCCCATCTACGCCGACCCCATCCAGGAGGCCTCTGCTGGGCAAGGGTGGGAGAGGGGCACAGCCATGGCACTGCCAGAAGGAACGCCAAGCGGAGCGTTCCAGAGAGGGCCTCGCCCTCGAGAGTCGAAGGAGCTGTCACCTCTTCGTCGGCGGACTGCCGCGGAAGGCGGTGGAAGGAAAACGAGCCGGCGGAAGTAAAAGATGCGCCCTCTAGAGATCCTCCTCCTCCTCTTCCTCCTCCTCTTTCTCCTCCTCCTCCTCCTCCTCCTCCTCCTCCGGAAACGTTTTTTGTTTTATTCCGGGTGTTCGGGATATGGGACAACGGGGTTTTCCTGGCAACAGCGGGCCTCGTCTACGTAAGCCAGCCACGCGCCGAAGGAGGGTAGGAGGGGGGAAGGCTTCTTAGAAGGACCCTGGTTCTTTGAAGGCGCGGGCCTTATCATCAGATGTAGGGCCCGCGCCTGCTAAAAAGTAGCCTCCTTCTAAGAATCCGTCCCCCCTCCCCTTACACCCTTGTGCGCGCCGCCAAGAACAGACTCCCCGAACGGCTCGAAGACCTCAGGAACGGCTCGAAAACCCGAGCCCCTCCTGAGCCCAAAGTTGTCCTTATGTGTCAGCGCCTTGACTGCAGGCTCAGGGTGGGGGCGCATCGGTTCCCAATCGCCCACTCGTCGCCGATATGGGCTCAACCGCCCGCCCCGCCCGGGGAGGTGCGGATTCGCTGTCAGGGGCCTATCGCCGATTTGTCGGCAATGTATCGGCGATTCAGACACGATGCTTCCCCCCGTGAGACCCCCGACTTCATCAGTTGTTCATAACGGTCTCGACCCATTCGCCTGGATCGGTTTTTCATCCTGGGTTGTTTTTTTGTCGGTCCCACGGGCCTGTAAGGGCCTCCAGAGGGCGAAAATCGCGACATGGTTTCCGTCGTCATCTTTCCATGACTCGAGGGGGTCTGGGATCGTTGCCCCTCAGGACGAGGGGCTGTTTGCGCGGGAGGGGCAAGGAGGGCCCAAAATCGGACGGCACGCGCTGCACACCTGCACCAGTCCTGGCGGGGTCGGCCCTGGGCTCAGAATCATCGCGTACGCCTCCTCCTATCTCTCCTCCTATCTCTCCTCCTCCTATCTCTCCTCCTCCTATCTCTCCTCCTCCTCCTCCTCCTCCTCCTCCTCCTCCTCCTCCTCCTCCTCCTTTCTTGCGCAGGCTGCGAGGGCGCATTGCAGCGCCTGGGGCGTCAGCCTCCTTCTCCTCCTCCTGGGCCCAGGATGGATGTGTATGCCCTCCTGGCCGAGCCGGGAAGGCGTACGCAACGATGCTGGGCCCAGGACCGGTCCGGCCAGGATCGGTGTAGGTGGTTTTAAGTCGGGCGTGTCTCTCAAAAGGAGGAATATTCAAACATAATCACTAAAAAAATCCGGGGGCGATGTTTCGAGCATGGTTTGGCTATGATCGATTTGTCTTACAACATCCGCCTGTAGGGGGACATGCCCGACCTAAGTGTAGGTGCACACGGTCGGCAGCTTTTGGATATCGTGTCGCTCCGCCGGTTCTGGCCCACCAAGCTTCGGCGTAGCCACTTCCCGGTCCCCAGGCTGCAACGTCCCGAGCTGTTCTTGGCCCCCCGCCCCGCGGGGCGGAGGGACATGCCATCCGCTCGCAGGGCGCAGCGTGTCGCCTGGGCCGCCGCCGCGCGAAGCGCTAAGCAAAAGTTCCCGACTGCCCCCGAGATGCGACATCGCGAAACAGCTGAAACTTGATCTTTTCATAAAAAAGAATATGTATGTATACATATATACATCTGTATAGCGAAGCCCTAGACCCCATCTTTCTCGGGCGGGTGGCAATGGGGGGTGGCCTAAAGGGGGGGTGAATAGAAAGGCCCTAGAGGCATCTTTTGGGCCTCTGCTGTCTCCAAGATGGCCCCAAAGGGCCACTTCAGGACCCTTTACTTCACCCCAAATGTAGGTCGCCCCCAATTACTACCCACCCGACATCCCTGGACAATGTTTGAGCCTGCTCGATATGTGATGGCCCTGGGGCCCGGGAGCAATACATGTATCCAGGGGCGTCGAGGATCCATGTCTTCGGCGAGGTCCCGGGAGAGGTACGTGTAATGCCCGCCCCTGGGCTACAGTCGAGGCTGACTAGTATGTCGACTCTGCCAAAGGAGGGGTACCCGCGCGTGTCTTGTGTTTCGCGATCCATGCTTTTTACATTCCTGTGACAACGTGGCCTTCGGAAGGGTCTTGTGTCCTCTCGCGTGCCCTCTCCAATCAACCCCGATTGTGTTCGTCCTTTCCGCCGCCTCCGAGGAGAGGAGGACGGCCCAAGGTGCCCCAGGATTTCCAAGGAGGCCCCTGCGACCTCCAGAGCACTTCCGACAAGGCCCAGAGGGCCCCAATGGGGCTCGAAAATTGTGCGAAAAGCTTGGGACACCTTGGGCCAAGGGCACCCTAGGCAATACCCCGATACAGGTTACTTCAAACATGTTTTTCTTTGAGATCACGAAACACATGCAGAATGTTCGTAGATCTACGGGTCACTCGATGCACTCCTCGCAGACCCGACGAAACAAGAAGAATTCGGGGGTAGTCCAATTCTGCTGTCGATCTCCTCTTCGAATCGCCGCCTCCGAGGAGAGGAGGCTGGCCCAGGAGGCCATGGCCGCCATCGCGGCCGCGGGGAGGGCGTACCTGGGCCTGCTGCGCGGCGGGGGTGCGGGCCCCGCGCTGGAGCCGGAGGAGGCCGCGCAGGCGCCGCGGGAGCGCGGGCTCGCGCAGGCGCCGGGGGCAGCGACAGAGAGCCTCGATGCTCGTCCACCGCCTTGCTGGCCCGGGATTTCCCTCGGCTATGCTACCACCTCTTCCTCCTCCTCCTCCTCCTCCTCCTCCTCCTCCTCCTCCTCCTCCTCCTCCTCCTCCTCCTCCCCCCCTCCTCCTCGTCCGACCCGATCCTCGATCCTCGACCCTGGATCCTCGCTCTTCGGCCCTCGATCCTCCCAGACTCAAGAGGCTTGCGCGCCATTCCGCCCACCCACAGAAGAGGCGGGGAGTGCGCGGTCGAGGAGGATTTGGAGGAGGAGGAGGAGGAGGAAGAGGAGGAGGAGGAGGAGGAGGGGGAGGAGGAGGAGCTCTCTTTGGGAACCCTCGTGGGCGTCTTGGGAGCTGTTTGGGGGCCTGACGGGGCCAGGGGCGGCAGCTGCAAATTCGCGCCGGGGGAGCCAAACCGGAGGTGTCAGGGCTGGGGGCGGTCAAGGGTGGTCACGGGTGCGCGCCCTGGGGGCTCAGACTGGAGTGGCCCCCGACCGCAGCTGTCCTGGATCATTCGGGCGTCCAACAAGAACCTCGACCCTCGTTCCCAGATCCTTGACCCTTGATCATCGCTCCTCGATCCTCGACCCGTGATCCTCCGAGAACGGGGTGTTCTGGGAGTCCCCTCGGAGGGAACAACATCTCAACAACAAGCAACGCCGAAAACGAAGATGCGACGACGCAAGTTGCGGGGTCGGCATGAGGGAAGCGTTTGCTTCTGAAGGGAACGCCTCAGCATGAAGCAATTCCCGCATGCTCGGGGGGAGCATGCGGGATTCGCTTCATGGGGGGAGGCCGCGGCCCCATGAAGCGATTCCCGCATGCTCGGGGGGAGCATGCGGGATTCGCTTCATGGGGAGATAACCGTTTAATGCGACGCAATTCTAAAGGAATCAGAGGTCGGCAGGTTTTTTAAACTTTTTCTATTTTTTTAAACAAAAAAAGGTTTCGCCTGAGACTCCCTCCAAACTTTTTAAATCCAGTGGGCGCCGCTGCTGTGAAATTCTGAAGGAGTCTCAAGCGAAACCTGGTTGTTTAACAAAAACCAATGAAAAAATAATGAAAATCCAGGTTTCGCTTGAGACTCCTTCATAATTTCACAGCAGCGGCGCCCAGTGGATTTAAAAAGTTTGGAGGGAGTCTCAGGCGAAACCTGGTTTTTCGATTTAAAAAATTTTAAAAATTTGAAAATTTGAAATAAAAACATATATTTGTTTTTAACCTGCCGACCTCTGATTCCTTTAGAATTGTCTCGTATTGAGCGGCCCTCCCCCCATGAAGCGAATCCCGCATGCTCCCCCCGAGCATGCGGGAATCGCTTCATGGGGCCGCGGCCTCCCCCCATGAAGCGAATCCCGCATGCTCCCCCCGAGCATGCGGGAATCGCTTCATGGGGCCGCGGCCTCCCGAAAACACGTTTCGCTTCGTTTCCGTCCTCGGGAGGAGGAGGAGGAGGAGGAGGAGGAGGAGACGACGGCGTTTTGGCTTTCCGGAAGCTCAAACAGTTGTGTTTTACAAAAGTGTGTTGCCTTCGAGCTGGAAGCTTTGTAAAACACAATGTTTTGGATCTCCGGGGGCTGAAAACGCTGTGTTTTCCGTTTTTTTGTTTTGCAATGCGAACACCAAAAATATTGAAAACACAACATGTTTTGCAATTCTCTTAGGTTTCCCACTTTTTTTTTTCCTTTCTCCTCCTGGTTTCCTCCCAAGTACTTCTGTAGTACTGGGGCCTGTAGTGCTTGGGCTGCAGTAGCGGGGCTGCACAACTGGAGCTGAAGTACTAGGGCGGTAGAAGTGAGGCGGGCGTACCCCTTGAGGGGTTTCTTTTTTGGATTCATGTTGTCAAAAGTGGAAAACTATATGCACTTTTCGTTAAGGTTGGGCGCGGATGCTTGCCATCAGAAACGTAACGGATGAAAAACATAGCCTTCGATTCCGTGGAGCGGACGCACCCCTTGAGGGTTTTCTTTTTGGATTCATAATATCAAAAGGGGGAAGTCATGTGCGTTTTTTTGTTAAGTTTGGGCGCGGGATGCTTGTCATTAGAAACGTAACTGATGAAAAACATAGCCCTCCATATCGCGGGGCGGATGCACCCCTTGAGGGTTTTCTTTTTGGACAGATGTTGTGAAAAAGGGGGAAGTTATGTGCATTGTTCGTTAATTTTGGGCGCGGAATGCTTGCCATCAGAGACGGAATGGATGAAACATATAGCCCTCAATTCCATTTTCTTAAAGATTTCAATCCGTGGTGGAAAGCAAGGCGTCTCATGCAATTTGCGAAAATTCGTATGTTACAAATGTTTGTTATTAAAATGACGTTTGCATTTTCACGATCGATGCCCAACCCTGAACTCTAAAGGGCCAGTTGTTCGGGTGCCTCCGTGTGCTCTTTCCAGGACGACTGTACCAGGACAGCTTACCAACAGCTACCAAACAACCCGATACAATATTAGTGCAGGTTGAAGAGCAGCGATGGATGTTGGAAGCGAAACTCAAAGGGGCATCCAATGTTGGATGCCCCCTGTCGCGTTCGTCTCTACACGGATATGGATCTAGCAAGCATTTCCAAACAAACAAAGTTCGCAAACACGTTGTTCAGAAAAGAAGGAGGGGGAGCAAACCAAGGGAACCAAACAGAAGGGGCATCCATTTTTGGATGCCCTCGCCCCCTCTGTTGCGTATGCTGTTTTCCGTGCGTCGTTGCACCCGCAACTGCGTTTGGGGCCCGTGTTTTCCAATTCCACATCAGATATTACCAGATCCTTGTCGATCTCCGCGTCGCAACAGCCCGTCCTGGAACGATGCTCGAGCGAGCTGCTTTGTTGAAGAGAAAACGTCAAACGTAAGTTTTCGGTCTGCCTGAAGAAGCCCAACGATGACGTTCAAACATGCCGTCGCAGCCAGTAGGGCGAAGAGGCAAATTACGGGAGTGATTATTGCGGTACACGAAGAGTATAGGTTGAACAACAACGGTTGATGTTGTAAGCAAGGCAAAGGGGGCATCCATTTTTTGATGCCCCCGCGAGTTGTTTTGAGCGTCCGAACCAAGTTTTTTCAAGTTGAGCAGACTTGAAGGAAGAAGAGGAGGAAGGGGAGGAGGAGGACAATGGGGATGATAATAATGTTGATGAGGAAAAAGGAGGAGGAAGAGAGGGGAAGAGGAGGGCGAGGGAGGAGACGGGAGAAGGGAGGTATTGGGTGAGTCCTGGGTGAGCCTTGTGTGCGAGGAGGGAGTGCAACCCCTCTACGCAAAACAATTCAGTAATGTTGCTGTTGCGGTTCAAGTGCATCGCTGTGTTCGCTCCCTCGGCCGACTGGCACCATGGGGGCTCCGGAGTACGATTCGGAGTCGTACAACAAGAAGATTATCCGGAACCAGAAATACAAGGAGAAGGCAAAACAGGACAGAAGGCAAGTATCAAGTTTATTAAAGTAATTGTGTTTTGTTGTTCACGAAACGATGTTGATCATCAAACGCGTTGGAAACTAAGTTTAATGTAACTTCACAACACAACATCCAAAGGAGAAGTATGCGAACAAGCCGGTCGTCAAGTTTTTGATCGACAGCAGCTTGGACGATGTCAAAAAGAAGTTGGACGCCAAAACCGGCAAACACAACAAAACGATGCGCGAGCTGCAGACCGCCAACAGCAAAAACCACACGCTGGAGTCGACCAACAAGAAAAAGGACGCCCTCATCGCGGACCTGGAAAAGCGGAATGCGGAGTTGATTGAGTACGGGTCCTGGTGCAAGAAAGAGAACACCAAAATGAAGAGGGACTTCAAAAACATGACGGAGGAGAAAGAGTCCATCGAGAGAAACCACAACACCTTCGTCAACAGGCACAAGCGGTTGATGCAGACGTTTGCTGACCGGGTGTCGTCGAAATTTTTAAATAATCTGCCAGTGGGAGAAGAAGCCGCCCGCGCGCACGCGGTGGTGCAGCGTAGGCATGTTTTAGGCTTCGTATTTGTAATTAAACGACGTGGCTAAAACTGCTCGTCGCGACACAGCAGCATTTCTTTACGTGTGTTGAATTCGATTCACCCGCAGGAAAACACACCGTGCTGGCCTGGAGATGTTTCGTGGGGCGACACGTGTAGCGTTTGCTATATTTCCACGCAAAGAGCGGGGGAGGGCGGGAGGCAAGCCTGCGGAGGAAGATAATATAAAAAAGGTCGTTATCGTAATAGTGCTTTCAGGAGCTTCTGCGGCTCTCGATTCCGATAAAAGGGTCAGGTGTTTCGTGGAGAAACACGTGTAGCGTTTGCTATATTCCGACGCAAGGAGCAGGCAACAGGAGCGGGGGAGGGCGGGAGGCGAGCCTGCGGAGGAAAATAATGTAAAAGGTCGTATTCGTAATAGTTTGTTTTTCAGGAGTTTCTGCGGCTCTCGATTCCAATAGAAGGGTAAGGTGTTTCGTGGGGAGACACGCGCAGCGTTTGCTATATTCTCTGCGCAAGGAGGGGGGAACAGGAGCGGGAGAGGGCGGGAGGCGAGCCTGCGGAGGAAGATAATGTAAAAGGTCGTATTCGTAATCGTTTTTTTCAAGAATTTCTGCGGCTCTCGATTCCGATAGAAGGGTAAGGTGTTTCGTGGGGAGACACGCGTAGCGTTTGCTATACTCTCTGCGCAAGGGGCGGGGAACAGGAGCGGGAGAGGGCGGGGGGCGAGCCTGTGGAGGAAGATACTGTAAAAAGGGTAGCGTTCGTAATAGATGTGTTTTCCGACTATGTGTCTTTCGATTTCTTTAGAAGGGCAGCCGTCAAGTAATTCTCAGCAATCGATGCTCTGGCGTTGAACATCCGGCCGGCGAGCCTGTGGTGGATGATAAATTTAGAAAGGTCGTCTAGTAATAGTTTTTCTAGAGTTTCTGCGGCTTGCGATTCCGATCGAAGGGCGAGGTGTTCCGTGGGGGGATAAGTATAGCGTTTGCTATACTAGCGACGCAAGGAGCGGGCAAAAGGAGCGGGAGAGGGCGGGGGGCGAGCCTGTGGAGGAAGATGATGTAAACAGGTCGTACTCGTAATCGTTTTTCCTGGAGGTTCGGTGGCTTTCGATTCCGATAGAAAGGCAGCGCCAAATCGATCTTAGCGAATCGACGTTCTGGCGTCGACGACGAGCCTGTGGTGGGAGATAAAATTAGAAAGGTCGTCTTAGTAATAGTTTGTTTTGGAGATTCCGTGGTTTTCGATTCCGATAGAAAGGACGAAGTGTTTCGTGGGGAGACAAGCGTAGCGTTTGCTATCTTAGCTACGCTAGGAGCGGGCAAAAGTAGCTACGCTAGGAGCCATCACTTGTTAATGTAGCAATTGACTGATAGGAGCAACATTGCGCCTACTACCACTCAGGCAACCCTGCCGCCATATTGTCTCAAGCAAGGCCGACGTGCTCTCAGGGGAACCTTGACTTCATAGTGGGCTATACACCTCCATAGCAAGCGCCCGCGTACGCGATTCGCTCGCCATGAACGTCACTTGCTTAGCTTCTGATCGATCAAAGGGGCAAGGAAGTTTGCATGATATGTTGCCAGCTTGCTCCAAGATTTTACGGTTGTTCCCGAGGGTCCGGGGGGGAAAAACAAGACTTTATATTTGATTGATGCGTGAGGTTCGCATCTGGCAGTCGATCGAACAGTTTGTAATCATATCATTATTGTCCCGATTGCCATGATGATTGGTCGGTTGTTCTGTCCGCGGGAGATATTACTCTTAAGGTGCTTCCTGATTCCATCCTGCTTCCTGTTCCGGAGGGTCTCACAGTGCACAGGCGCAGTGGCTTCTTTGAGACTCTTGAAGATGTCATCGACAACAAGTGGGCGCTCGAGACGCACAGCTGCGATTGCCTAATATGCCTTCCGATTGAGTGCGATCTGTTCCACGGTATCTGATCGAAATAAAGATCGTTATATTGCTTCTGTTATATCTAACGGCCTCCGATCTATCCCGCCACCGTGCGTGGGTAGTGATCAGAACCATCAGGGAATCCACTTGGGATCTTCGGAGGGCTCTCGGAAGTGCCCAGCCCAGGTTTGCAGCATTGCGGCAAGATCGATCATTGATCTGTTCATTGAGGCGCCGGCCGCATTGAAGGTAACGTCTTCGGAGACGACATTGCCAGGCTCGCCGATTTGGACGATGACTTCGTGTTTCGCGCCGACGATGAGATCATCGTGGACGATGGCGTGGACGACATCAACACTACTGAGAATGATGTGTCTACTGAGATACCAGAGCCTCCCTCTCTTGACAATTCAGGCGCACAGACAGATACCTGGAGCGACCATTCCTCTTTGCATGACGACGCGTCCAAGAGCAAGTTGACCGAGGTCTGCGTTGATGGATTTGGTGTGTCGTTTCATCTTGGAGAAACCGTGTATTGGACAGTGAAAGACGCGGAAAATTCTTTTGGGATGATCGGGAAGATCGCGGGCCCCAGCGTCTTCTACGGGAGGGATTCCGTTCTGGTCAAGTTCAAGAACGCACTCGCCTTATTTAGCTTTCTTTTTGTCGTTTTGATGATCCACAGATGGCGATTTTTGCAGTGGAAAGATCAACGGGATGATTGGGCCGTCTTTTGCTTGTTCAACTAAGGTGGTATGGCACTGCAGAACATCGGACATCAGCCACTCGAATCCTTCTACGTGAAAGAGGGCTAGGCGACAGGTTCGGTTGCGTTTCGAAGCCCAGGCGCTCTTATAAGTATGTGCGTATGTGCGTATGTATACCTGAATGCTTTATTTTTGCACCATTGCTGGACGTACTACTACGTACACGCGTGCGTCTTCGTGCATGTGTTTCTGTATATGTGTACGGATATATACTTGTAGTTGGAGATGTATCGTATGCGTATGTGTGTACGCGTATATATATATATATATATATATATATACACGCAACACCAACAGTGCCAACAGGTCGGACGATATTTCGACTATTTCAAATACCATCTTGATACGGCCTGTGCGGCCGAGGGGACTCCCAGAACACCCCGGCCTCGATCCTCGATTCTCGGTCCTCGGTCATGCTAGACACCCGATGCCTTGAGTTCTTTCACACGGGTCCCCTGCAATCCCGAGTCGAGAATCAGTTGCACAAGATCCCCAGGGCCCCTCGAGCCATGAAATAGGGACGGCAGGCGGGGTGTCGCTATGTGGAGCCTTTGGGAGTTCTTGGTACCGGGCCTCGGGACCGTCACAACGCGCTCAAGATGAGAAGCCGTTCTCCACCAGCCCTCGAAAGTGGCCACCTTTTCGCAGATCGCAGCCCCGCAGGGATGGCGAGGTCTCATTTGAGTGTGCGTAGGACGTCATTCGGGTGGACCTCCCAGCAGCCCTCGAAAGCTGCGACCGTTTCGCAGATTTCAGCCCCATAATTAGGGATGGCGAGGTCCCATTTGAATTTGGTTGGGGCGTCACCCTAGTGGACCCCCAGCGTTTCGCAGATCGCAGCCCCACAGGGACGGCGAGGCCTCCTTTCTAGTCTGAGCATGAGAGCACTCGGGCGAGCAGGCGTGGCCTGCATGGGCCCGCCGTGCCCTGAGACCCGACGGGCAGGCGGCGTGCCAGGCGACCACGCCTCCTCCTCCTTTTCCTCCTCCTCCTCCTCCTGCTCCTCATCCTCTCCCTCCTCCTCTTCCTCCTCCTCCTCCTCCTTCTCCTCCTCCTCCTCTTCCACCTCCTCCACGCAGCACCGACGGGAAACAGTGGCGTCCCACGCCGGGCCATTCGCCAGCGTGGCAATGCGGCGGCGAGCGAGGGGGGGGAATTAGAAGGAGGAGGCCTTCTCAGAAGGCGGCGGGACTTCTCAGAGCGTCACGCCGTTGGACGGCCCGGCAGCCATCGAAAGTGGCGACAGTTTCGCAGATCGCAGCCCCAGCCCTCGAAAGTGGCGACAGTGTCGCAGATCGCAGCCCCCCAGGGATGGCGAGGTCTCATTTGAGTCTGGGCGGGACGTCACGCCGTTGGACCCCCCAGCAGCCATCGAAAGTGGCGACAGTTTCGCAGATCGCAGCCCCCCAGGGAAGGCGAGGTCTCATTTGAGTCTGGATAGGACGTCACTCCGCTGGACTCCTCAGCAGCCATCGAAAGTGGCGACGGTTTCGCAGATCGCAGCCCCCCAGGGATGGCGAGGTCTCATTTGAGTCTGGGCGGGACGTCACGCCGTTGGACCCCCCAGCAGCCCTCGAAAGTGGCGACAGTTTCGCAGATCGCAGCCCCAGCCCTCGAAAGTGGCGACAGTGTCGCAGATCGCAGCCCCCCAGGGATGGCGAGGCCTCATTTGAATTTGGGTGGGACGTCATTCCGCTGGACCCCCGAGCAGCCCTCGGAAGTGGCGACAGTTTCGCAGATCGCAGCCCCCCAGGGATGACCAGGCAGGAGGCAAGCTGGCACGCAGGAGGGAGCGAAGTGAGAGGTAGGAGAGAGAAGGGGAGAGGGGGGGGGAGGAAGGAGGCAGAGACCGCAGTGCTAGTTATCCAAAACGAGTACCCAACGCAGGAGGGTTGAGAACAAAACAGACAAACAAAAACAAACAAAAAGGCCAGGGCGGCAGCAGGGGCAGCGGAAAGGGGGGGATTGGGAAAGGGGGGGTTACGAAATCTGCTGCATGCAGCTGGTTTCGGCCCCACCGAGGGGTCCATTCCTCGATACATAGCCGCCTCTGGCGCCGGGAGGCGCCAGGAAAATCAGCCACGTGAGCTGATTCTCAAACCCCCCCTTGGCTATCCCCCCCTTTCGCCCGGTCCGAGGCAGCCGGGGCGGCAGAGCGGCAGCTGGCGGCGGAGGCCAGGGCCGATATCCGGCGCTCGGCGGCCGCGGCGAGGGCGTACCTCCGCCTGCTGCGCGCGGAGGGCGCCGGCGGCGCTCCAGCGGGGGAGGATGCCCAGAACACAGGTCGGCCACTACAATCCTCCTCCTCCTCCTCTTTCTCCTCCTCCTCCTCCTCCTCCTCCACCTCCTCCTCCTCCTCCTCCTCCTCCTCCTCCCTCCTCCTCCTCCTCCTCCTCCTCCTCCTCCTCTCTCCTCCTCCTCCTCCTCCTCCTCCTCCTCCTCCTCCTCCTCCCTCCTTTCCTCCTCCTCCTCCTCCTCCTCCTGCTCCTTCTCCTCGGCCTCCTCCTCCTCCTCCTCCTCCTCCTCCTCCTCTTCCTCCTCCTCCTCCCAACCCCTATCGTGAACGTACACTGTTGACGCTCTGTTGGATTTCTTGGATCCTCGCCGGGGCCCCCCTTGGTGGCCCCTCCTGCGCCGCCCCTTGCGCGCTCCGCGCGCCAGAGAGGGGGTTCCAGCGCAGATCCAAGAAATCCGCGCGGAGCGCGACACATTCCTCTCAACATGAGCGAAGTCAACGTGGATTACATGTGAACCGATGGTAAGGATGGGTAGCCTTCCCAAGGGCACCCCCCTTGCATCCTTGCCTCTGCGGCTCATCCTGAACCACTCTCGATGGCCAGGCCCATCATTTTCGCGCATCCTTACTGTCAGCCAGGATTTCCAAGGTTTCCAGGACTCCCCACATGTCCTACTGTTCCGCAAAGGCACGCACCCAGAGCCAATCGTATAATGACTTGTGATGTTCCAACCTACTTTAGCCTTGACCACCAGAAAGACTTTCGAGCACCAAGAAGGTACCGAAACGGGAGGGTTTTCACGTGTCGGGCCTTTGGAGGCGATACTCGCTCGACACTGTGCCGATACTTTCCCGGGTGCTCGAAATGATTCCTGGGATGTGCTCCTTGAGTACGATGGGACCAACGTGAATATGAAAATTCTTTACGCTTCGCGTATCCCCACCAGCCCATCTCAAAACAGCAATTCTTGCGAAGCATGCCGACAGTCGTGTTTTTCAGGCGTGTTTCCGCCTGCCCCCGCATATCTCCCCTGTTCCTCCTTCCTCCCGCCTCCTTGTACATCCTCCTTGTGGTGGGAGCGGGAGAAGGACGAGGCGGAGGAGGAGGGAGAGAAAGCGCTCCTCGTGGTTTGAGTCGTTTGGGGTTTCTCGTCCTGGTGTGAGTCGTTCGGGCCCTTCTTCCTGGTGTGAGTCGTTCGGGCTCTTCGTGGTGTGAGTCGTTCGGGCTCTTCGTCCTGGTGTGAGTCGTTCGGGCTTCTCGTGGTGTGAGTTGTTCGGGCCCCTCGTCCTGGTGTGAGTCGTTCGGGCCCCTCCTCCTGGTGTGACTCGTTCGGGCTCCTCGTGGTGTGAGTCGTTCGGGGCCCTCGTCGTGGTGTGAGTCGTTCGGGCTCCTCGTGGTGTGAGTCGTTCGGGCGCCTCGTCCTGGTGTGAGTCGTTCGGGCCCCTCCTTCTGGTGTGAGTCGTTCGGGCTCTTCGTGGTGTGAGTCGTTCGGGCCCCTCGTCCTGGTGTGAGTCGTTCGGGCTCCTCGTGGCGTGAGGCGTTCGGGCACCTCGTCCCCTTTTGGGGCGTCTTGGGGGCCTCTTGGCGGCCCCAGGGGCTTCTAGGAGCGTCTTGGGTGCCTTGGGGGAGCTCTTCGGGCCTCTTGGGAGCCTCTTGATGCCGTTTGGGGCGTCTTGGGGGCCTCTTGGCGGCCCCAGGGGCTTCCAGGAGCGTCTTGGTGCCTCGGGGGAGCCTCTTGGGGGCCTCTTGGGGGCATCTTGGGGGCCTCTTGGAGGCCTCTTGGGGGCCTCCTGGGGGCCTCTTGGGGCCATCTTGGGGCCTCTTGGTGCCTCCTGGGCGCTTCTTGGGGCCATCTTGGAGGAAATCTATCAAAGAAGAGGGGAGCTTTAATTAGCGCTGCCCCCTTCAGAAGGGCAAAATGGGGCCAAAACCTCCGTAAAATCAATGATGTTGGCTTGAAAGAAGAGGGGAGCTTTAATTAGCGCTGCCCCCTCAGAAGGCCAAAATGGGGCCAAAACCGTAGTAAAATCAATGATTTTGGCTTCAAAGAAGAGGGGAGGGTTTTTTCTGCCTCCCCCCGTCGGGGCCAGAATACTCGTGAGGGGTGTCGTTTTTTAGCCCTCCCAGGAGTCGAAAATGACCCCTCCAACGACCCGCGGAAGGCCCCCTCCAGGTCCAGGGGGAGGGGGTAGGGGGAGGGGTAAACCCCTCCCCGAAGGGGAAGAAGGGGGGTTGAGAACAGAGCGGACTCCCTAAACCACTCACGCCCAAAGGGCTGGTGGGATAACACCAAAAAACGATTGGAAGAACATCAATAATTACATCCTTCTCCCCCCAACAAGGGGCGTGGTTTGCGACCAGGGCGTGGCCTGCGGTCTGCGCCGCTGGGGCTCGGGCCGAGGCAAGAAGCACGGGGGCCATAGGGCCAAGGCGTCGCGGGATCTCGTCGATGCCGATCTCGGGGGTCCATGTCGTCTGTCGCCGATTCGCGAGGAGGGTCCACGAAACGACGCTGGCCAAGGTCGGCACGACGTTTCCGCACGCAGTCTCGGGGTCGTGCTCCCCGTGTCTCGCCCCCTCCACTTGGGGGGGGGTGGTACCGCGCTGCCCTCGTCGGGGCGCGGCGGGGAGCTCTGTCGCGGTCCTCGCCCGCGTCCCAGGCGCGGGTTGCAAGCCACACCCTCTGCAGACCACACCCTCCGAAGCCGCCGAACAGGGGAGCGCCTGCTCGCGGAGGCGCTCGCTGTGGAGGCCAGGGGCAGCTCGAACCTGTCACACGCCTCGCGCGTTTCGTCTGCTCCTCGCACCCCCTGCGCTCTTCACGCCTTCCCGCGCTGCTGGCGCCGCTGCGCTGATCCAGACCCGGTCCTGGGCGGCGCAGTGCCACGCCAGGGCGGGGATGGCCTCAGGGGGCCACGACGGGTTCCAGCAGGGCCGGACCTCAACGGTGTTTTTGGCGATTCCGTGGGCCGTTTTCGTTTCCACTTCGTTTTGAAGTAAAGGCGGATTCGAGACAAAAGCGATGGAAAACGGAGACAAAACGAAAACGAAAAACACCCTTGAGGTCCAGCCCCGGGGTTTTCCAGGTTCCAGGTGCTCTGGCGTGTTCGTCGGTCCTCGTCGGTGTTCCGGCCTCTCGGGATGCGCTCCAGCGACTGCGCGCCTTGGCGAGAGCGGTCTGGGCCGGCCCAGGTCGTCCCGAACGGAGGGTCCCTCTCGAAGCGGATCCTCGCGTCAAGTCGGGCATGCCCCTCTACAGGAGAACTATGCAGAAATAGTTAAAAAAATAGTCTGGGAACTATTTTTCTACCACTTTGGGGGGCTGTTTGGGAGTATGTTCTGAGTGTCCTTCCCTTCTTCTCACAAAGCCAGCCCGCGGGAGGACATGCCCGACCGGATCCTATCGTTTGCAGGGCGGCCCCTCCCTGACGTTCCCCCGCAAGAGGTGAGCGACGCCACAGAAACGAGGTCGTCTTCACCAACGCCGGCGCGCCAGCTTTCCGCACGAGGTGACGCGTAAGCGCCCCTCGTCTCCAGTGTGGCGTGCCGCGCTGGCGGCCCGCGGGAGCCGCGGCGTAAGGTCGCTACAGTCAGCCCGCATGTTGATGGGACCTTCCCAAGGGTACCCTTGCATCCTTGCCTCCTCGGTCCGTCCTCGGCCGCTTTCGCTGGCCAGCCTCGTTCGAAAAGCGTTGACGTGGCCCTCCAGGGCCCCTGCATCGTTGCCGCGCACCCTTATCCTGGGGGTTGCCTGTATGCCGTCTCGCGGAAGGCTCCTCTCTTGTCTTCGCTCAGGTGACAATGGACGTCCGAGCGACGGCAAGAGGCGGAGTCTGTCGTGTTGTGTCTGGCGGAGTCTGTCTTGTTTTATCACATCGGGCTTATGTTCTAAGACAACTGTTTGTGCTCTTTGGGAATTTTGGGGTTCGAGGAGCATTTCGTGTAGGACTACAGGAATGGCGGGACGGTCGGTCCCTGCTCAACAGGTGACGCTGGCCGCAGAGGCGGCGGAGGGGGCCCCGCCGGAGGGCGGGCTGGCCGAGGAGGCCCGGGCCGCCATCCACCGCGCGGCCTTTGCGGCGAGGGCCTACCTGCGCCTGGTGCGCGCGGGCGAGGGCGGCGCGCCGGCGGCGGAGGAGGGGGCCGGGAGGCCAAGGGGCCTCGTGGCCAGGCCGGGGGCGGAGGGTTTCTCCGAAGGGCTCCGGCGACCCGTCCTCCTCCTCCTCCTCCTCCTCCTCCTCCTCCTCCTCCTCCTCCTCCTCCCCTCCTCCTCCTCCTCCTCCTTCCTCCTCCTCCTCCTCCTCCCCTCCCCCTCCCCCTCCTCCTCCTCCTCCTCCTCCGCCTCCTCCTCCTCCTCCTCCTCCTCCTCCTCCTCCTCCTCCCCCTCCCCCCTCCCACTCCCTCCCCTCCCCCTTCCCCTCCCCCTCTTCCTCCTCCTCGGGTCGCCTACGGCCCCAGGGGGAAACCGTGCACCCAGCTCGGGTCCCGGGAGCCTTGAGACAGTGGCTGCAGTCGAAACCGACGGTGAGGACGGGTAGCCTCCCCAAGGGCACCCTTGCATCCTTGCTTTCCCAGTCCGTCCGTTTGACCCCTTTCGATAGCCAGCCCCGCCCGAAGAGCCTCGACATGGGCCCACGAGGGGCTTGCATCCTTACCGCACATCCTCACGATCAGCCTAGACTGCAAAGCAGACGGGGGTCAGCCAGAGCAGGGCTGCAGCGGCCCGGGCCAGCACGCAGCATCCTGCAGGACCCCGCAGGACGCCGCAGGATGCTGCAAAGCCGGACGGACCCGGGTCTGCATCGCCCTGGGCCAGTCGATCCCCGAAGGGCAAGCGTCAGGGGGGTCTGGCTCGGGAAGGGGGGGGGGAGGACGCGTCGGCCCCCGAGCGCCCACTCGTCGCCCGCTGGGGCCGGGGCTCCCCTCGCCCCGCACAGGAACGCGCGGTGTGACCTGTCGGAGGCCCATCGCCGATTCACGGGCGCCCATCGCCGCTCTCTATCGGCGACGCAGTCCTCTGTCTCAGCTCGGCGTGTCCCTCCCGCGCTGCAGCCCCGCGTGCGGGGAGGAGGGCCGGGAGGCACCGGGAGCGCATTCTCGCAGAGGCTCGATCGGGGGCCCCCAAGCGGTGTGGTGACTACACCGTGCGGTGAGTCAGTGGGGATTCGGGGTCACTGCACGGTTTTGGGGACTCGAGTCCCTCGCCGAGAATGTCTCGGGCGACAGAAGCCTCCGAGCTCCCAAAGCCGTGCGTTGACGGACCGTGCGGTGAGGCCTTGGGGGATGTCGAGGTCACCGCACGGTCGGTCACCGCAACGCTTCGGGACTCCACACTCGAGGAGGAGGCGGCACTCACAGACTCTCGGAGCTCCGCGCCGGTTTCTCGGGTCTGCGCGGGGGTCCCCCTGGCGGCGGCTCCAGCGCCGCCCCCCGCGCGCCCCGCGCAGCAGGGAGGGGGCACAGCGCCGCAAGCGTGTGTGTATTCAGGCGGTCTGCCTGCACAGTCTCAGAGGAAGGCGGACCTCCGAAAGTGTATGCTCCTGCAGTCGTGTGTTCCCTCTCAGAGGAGGGCGAGGAGGAGGAGGAGGAAGAAGAAGCAGAGGAGGAGGAGGAGGCCGAGAGCCCAGAGGAGCCCGCGCTCGCAGAGGTGCCGGGGATCGGAGAGCGGGCCAGCACGGCAGAGCCCGCGCGGCTCGTGGAGGAGCGGTGGCTGGCCGGGGAGGCCAGGGCTGCCAGGCGGGCCCTGGAGGCCATGGCCGGCTGCCCCGACGTGGACATCAGGCTGGCGTTTTTCGGCACCCTGGTGGCCTACCCGGAGGCCTGGCACGCCGAAGAGAGCGAAGTTGCCGAGGCTCCGAGGAGGAGAAGATGCCTGTGCCGCTGCTGGTCCTGCTCTCGTCGCCACGGCCTGATTGTCCTCGAGGTTGTGGTCAGACTGCACCCAGGGAGAGGTCCAGGCAGTTGCCGTAGAGGCAGGTTGTTGTTCCCTCGGAGGCGACGCCGCCTCTGACTTCGCGCTCGGCGGAAGGTTGACC